GCCCGACATCAAAAATCTCGGAATACATACACAACTTTCTTCTTCAAATGATAACTGCACAACCAACCTACATCTGTGACACAACGGTCATATTGCACGAACTGTAAGAAACAACCTTTCCACAGAATATCCCAATAACCAGTATTGATGTTTCAGTGTACATCGATGTCTGACAAGCAGGAGCAATCCAACACTTCTGTGATGCCTTAAACAAATCCAACCACAACTATTCCATCACAAAACCCAATTCAACCTACGTCCCAAAATTTCTACATGTACATGTACTTCCAAAAACTCATCCTTAGCCCCAACTGTTTCCGTTTTGGAAACAAGTTCTTCCAAAAAATTGGATGTGCAATGGACTCAATAGCAAGCCCAGAAATTACCCTTGGTAATTTCAAAAATGAAATACTCCGAAGAGCACAAAACATCCTCACATGATGGCGATATAGAGATGACATACATGTATTAGCCATCTACAACGGAAATGTTAACCAATTCCAAAAAATTGTCACTCACATGATTAAATTCACCCAATCTTGAAATTCACATATGAAGCCTCCAAAACAGCCACAAACTACCTTGACTTAACCATGCCGTACTGGCTTCATGCTCGCATTTCAAATTCTTTCCCAGTCCTCCAATCACATTTCTGTGTTATTCGCCAATAATTGAAGGGGTATTAATCAAAACTTCTTTCTTATCACATGTTATTAAAATATCCAGAAGTTGAATTTGGGCAAGAATTGCACGTCACACTTTGACGTGTGTTTGGCATGATTGGCAAAAATTGCAGGAGTAAAAAACTGAAAATATTTACAAGCCAATACATGTATGTCAATGACTACATAATATACATATTGCAAATACCGGTATGTTTAACGAACTGTAACATTACAGGAGGCGAAATTAATTTCAAACTTGTGGTGGCCTGCAGGGCCAGTGGGAAGTGCACTGCAGTGGCCCTCATGAAAATTTGGTGGCCCAGGTTGATCAGGCCCACCACACATGCCCATGTGCATCAGTCAAACTTCTCTACCAAAACACCTGACAGGCCAGCCAGGCTAAATTTAAATGCACTTTTTGACCGATCCAAATTTTTTGGTGTGGCTGTAAAAATTATATCATGAAGTTAGAAAAATACATTAAAAAATTTTAAAAAGTGACAAGACTATCTAATCTTTTCTGTCTTCACAAAACACCTCAACAAATTTTTCCACATCTGAAAGCTTGAATTTTTTGTTTGCCTGCTTATATTTGCAACATTTGGAAGAAAGTTCTGTTATTTGCACAAGTTGCCATATTTTCACAAGTTGACATTTCACTATCGCGGTGGTGAAAACACGCATGCAATATTGCTTGATGCATAGCTATAGAAGCAAGGCTTCACTGGTTCCCACTGCCCCGCACCACTGCCAAAGAAGGTGTGATGGTAATGCGGCAACCAGTCAATGCATCCCGGTGAAAATAACGTACTATTCACTGTACACTTAAGTAACTCCACAGCTGCACATCGAAAAAAAATGATGTCCCACGAAGATTTTTATAAGTTAATTCCCAGAACTTGATCTGTTGTCTGTATATATATTTTCTTTGTTCACAAATGTAATTTGTGTATTGCACACTTGCAATAGACTGTGTTGTGTTCTACAATACACGGTAGGATGGTAGGACTGTGTCTTAATAGCTATCTTGAACTGAAACAGTGTTTGCCCATGGGCCAAGCTACTTGTACATCAAACACAATGTGGTTTATTGCAAGCGTGTGATACTGCATGTACTGTGCGCAAAGTACATGTACATGTAACACTGTACATGTCAGCCTTTTGGCGATGTCGTCAGCCTGAGAGCGTGAACGACCAAAGGGGGATTCTTTGTTGGTAGGGAAATACAGGATGTTTTTATTCATTTTGGGGTTACAATTAATGGGGTAAACACTAAATTGATAATTTTTTTGAAAGGATTGTTTTTGTTATTCTGAAACACTACCACATGAAATAAATATTTTCAATTTCTGTTACCCTTTAAATCATTTTGTGTTTCAAGTTCTGTGCACATCTTCATAATTCCTTACATGCCAGACCTGCCTATACATGTAAATGCATTTTTAAAACTACAAAGTAAATACACAGATGTAGTATGTCAAGATCTACATGTACGTATGCATACACTGCACCATAAAAATGACAGAACTTGTTGTAGTACTTGCCAACATTCCTACAATTGAAACCAATTTTAAAATAGTCAATAAATATGCAGTTTTCCCCATAAAAATGACTTGTTTTAAAACTTGCAGGTTAGTCTCTGAGGACAGCAGTGGAAAGGGTACAGCCATGTTACTGAGGCAGAGCAAATATTCTTCCACCTCTATGCTCGTCTGTGCTTTGATTGCCTATTTCTTGACGTCAAAATTCTGTGTAGCAGGTAAAAGGGTATACTTTTATTTTGCTTTGTATCTCTCCTTAGTTTTGATGAACAGGGTTGAAACTGCGTTAAAGGTGCACTGTCGTCAAAACATTTATGCACTCGTAGGCAATGTCAGGTCAATGCAACAGACTCCTGCCACTCATGTAATCAATCAAGGACAAGCTATGACAATTGCCACCTCGCGGGACTTGAAAGCAGCAGGGATTCCACTTAAACAACACTTGGGTCATTAGATGGCAAAAAAATATTAAAAGGCATCTCAAACCCACAAGATAACGTCTTTAAATCCACCTTGACTTAAGCTTGATAATTTATATACGCAAAACAGACATTATTGGAATAATGATACATGTACATTTCTTGCTGAATTGGCAGTTCGACCTCCAGTGATTACTAGAGAACTACAGTCTGAGTCTGGTATTGAAGGAGGTGTCATAGCATTTGTATGTGAGGCATCCGGTGATCCGGAACCATCATTCCGCTGGGAGAAGGGATCCCGCAATGCCCAAAACTCAAGATCAGACATTTTTCCAATGCCTTCTGGATCTGTTCTGAGGATTGAACCACTTAGAGATGGTCGTGACGATGCGGAATTCCACTGTATTGCATCAAATGTTGCTGGATCAGTCAGAAGTACAGCGAGGCTCCAGGTTTATGCAAGTAAGAATGCAAATGAATTGTACAGTAAATCTCTAGTTTACGTGAGATCACTTTTCAAACTTCTGTCAGATGTTCTGAAAGATCCTTGTTTGACTATCTATTCATTTCTACCACTGAAAAATATAAACGTCATGGCAAGTTTTAGTTGGCCCCATTATCAGAGTTACCTGAATAATGTAATGTTCTTGCTGATATGTTTATTTCAGTTTTATTTTAGGAGTTGTTTACTTTTTCCCCATGGTTTCTTTGGTGTACGTGTTGCATTATGATGGTAGTAGTCTAATCCTTTTGAGCCCTCTGATTCTAAATTTGATAAAACAGGTATTTTGTGTATCTTGTGCATGGACAGTTACTCTTTGTTATCTGCATTTAGCTCTGTTTTGTAAATATTACATTATTACAGATAATCTTTATTTTTAGCAAAATGTGCGCATTCAACACCAATATTGTATAAGAATGGCACCCTTCAGTGTGTAGCATGTTGGGGGAGGAATAATGCACTGTATTATTTTCACGTGTTTTCATGAATTGTAATTATGTTCATGCAGTAAACTAATAATTCTTTTTCTTCCTAAGGTTCCAGTATTCCTGCAGGTTTTCCAGTGATCACAAGAGAGCCAGTACTCGACGTTGTAGAGAAGGGCTATCCAATATTACTTCATTGTGAAGCGGAGGGTAACCCTGATCCAGAAATCATTTGGTTCAAAGAATACACACCTGTTGATCTCAGCACGGAGAGAGTCAAGTTAACCTCATGTAAGTAGAAACATTCCAGGGGAGGGAAATGCAAGAAATTGATTTGTTCATGAACAAATGGAATGAAATTTCTATTTACTTAATAATGTGCCAGCAAGTTTCCACCTTTAACCACTTGCTGCTAGGTGCATTTTGAAATGCAGTCTAAAACCAGACGATTTTCTGTCTTCGGTTTTTATAAATCTTCAAAAATTCATATCTTTTTTTCCCTGAATGCCTAAACCCCATCAAGTGTCTGTCTGGTGGCTACTTTAATCTGACAGACAGCATCTATTGATGCCTGAGTATTTCAGCCAGGCCTGCCACCTTGTAAAAAACAGCCCAGATTGCCCAGAAAAGTTTCTTTTGCTCCCGAAACTAGCACAGTGCGCTGCTGGCATCTTTTCAATACAGGCCAGATTAGTGTGCAGCGGTATTGTATCATTCGTCATTGGAGTGCTAGAGTGCTTTTGTAGATATACCAACTTGTACAATTTAGGTGTAATTTTTACGATTTGTTTAGTAATTTTACAACTGATTTTTACGATTTCCAACTCGAAGGTATAAAAACTATATAGTTGTGTATAAACTTAACGTAAGCTAGTACAAAGCCTGCCTTGTAATGTGCGCGTGGTTGAATCATCCGTTCGCCCTGCTTAAGGCTATGATGAACAGGAGGCAAATAGGCATGATTGCTCTTCATTATGCAATGTGATTGCGTATGTCCCTGCAGTGTACTGTACATGTACCGATATCATACACACCTGTGTCGAACTTCATGATCGTGCTAAAGTTGATGGGAGTAGAGGACTGTCAGGGATATCGTTACAAGGCCCTGTTCCCTTTGTCCGAGTTCGGAGACCCCAGCCAAGCATATAAAAGCATACGTGTCTGGATCCGTAATCCCTGGCAGGGAGTGGTCAAGAAAAATAACAGCCACAAGTTTTGAAGAAAAATGTGTTTCACCAAACCCACTTGCGTTTCCAAAGTAAAATCCGATATTCGCCCTCTGCTGTCCACACAACCAATAGCTGGTTTCCTCTCATTTTATGTGCAAGAAGTGCAGCTCTGATGTTGGTTACCAACTAAATGTTAATGTGCTTATGTTACATGCGTGCATGTGGATCTCATCACAGTGTGTGGGGACAAATGGACATGACTGGTGAAAATTCCACTTCCTCCATTCTTACATTTTATAATTGTTCTTCATTACAAGTCTTTATTCATTAAACTGTATCTCATTTTCATAAATAACCTTTTTAAAATCAGGTTCAAAAGCAAAACGTTTGTGCCTTTAAGCAAAACGTTGTACTTGTACACATGTATGCTTTACCTATGGTCCATTGGTGATACGTACGTCGAGCAGGACGGCAGCTTTCGCATAAGACGAGGTCCGGATAATACAAGCTAAATTTGTAAGTCTCAAGGACCTCGTATTAACGAGAGTTGACTGTATAAGGTTGTACCGCACCAAATACGTGCGCACAGAAAACAGTGTAAAATTGGACCAAAATAGTGCCACCTCTTGACTCTCGGGAAGAGGTCGGCCTCTGTTTTTTCATTGGAAATTCAAGATTATGGCCAGAAGTTCACTTCTCGTTTCAATTTTATCGGGGTTAGCCATGCGATTTTTTTTTCCCCTCAAAGATACCCCTAAAATAGTAGTAAAACTGTGCACTCAGCCTTAAATGCAGCTGCCCGCCTCTACCCAAATAGGCCCACAGGTTGGGCAGAGCTCCCAATATGTATGATTTTGGTGTAGTTTTTACAATTTTCCACCAATTTTATGCTTGTACGGTATGTATGTTCTTTGTTCAGGTACGATTTTTGACAATGCTGTCTTGAAAAATATTAAATTTAAAAAGACGCTTCATTACCCCTTTTTTTTTTAGACAAAACTGGTCTGAAAACCATCGAAGGTCTTTTTAGACTGTGCCAGCAGTGTGGTACTGTGCAATGATGTATTTGTACCAGTCTTGGTTCTAGACTTGGATCGTTACTTGCAAATTTCACGTGCATTTACGTACGTATGTACTTACAGCATGTATGAACCAGTACATGTGATGGCTGTGGACAAAAGGAATATAATGTCTCATATCAAGATGACTACTTCAGCAAAGCAGCGAATTTCTCACCAATCATTCATAGGCAATGGTATGCATGTGTGACGTGCGGCACTGTTGTAGTATAAACAGTGGTGCCATGCTTGAAATATGTTGCCCAAATATGGGAAAATGAAGCTGAAGCTTCAGCAGAGGTTTCTTCAGAAATACAGCGATGAGTGGCCATGCCTAATATCCAGTAAATGGTTGGATTATTTTGCATTTTGCACAGTGTGCAATGCTGACTTCTGTGTGAGTCAAACGGGTCGAAATGATTGGGAGAAACACATTGTTACTGATAAACACACTCGGGCAATAGAACATTCAAGGAATATGCCCAAAATTACCAGCTTTGTTGCAAAAAGAGGAACCAGGAAATGAATATTACTTACAATCACTTTTTGTGTATCTCTACACTTCTTCCATGTATGAAGACAGACATCTTTTTTGATTCATGTGAACTGAACAGTGCACTTTTTTGAAATATAAAAATTGACCAAGCATTTCTGTACAAGTGAGGGCGATTTGCTTTTATGTAAATCCAGGAAGACATGGTTCAGGTTGCATGTTTTCATGTTCAAATTGTGAATCCCAAATTTGCTATGTGGGAACATTTCTGTGGAAAGGATTTTTGCTGGATCATTGCTATATGCTTATACAGCAATAAACTAAAAAAGAAAATAAAATCTGGCATAGCAGTGATTAAAAAATAATTTGTGCACAAATCAGTGCAACATTGAGATTCAGTGCCTCGGATAACATCATAGATCTGCTCATGAATATGCAAATCATTAGCATAAAAATCAAAAAGCATCCAAATATGAGTTAAAAGTGCATAACAAAAAATTAAAATAAGGTTAATTGAAACCCAAAGATACAATTTCAAGGGTTTTTAGTGAAATTAATAAAAGTATTTCCATTTCCTGGTTCCTTTAAACTACATGTACATGTAACATTCACGACTGCAGAACCAATGTTTGTTATAAATCATCATCAGCTCTTATAAACTACCCTACAGGTCAGAATTTAACCAACACGCAAACACGCAGAGCGTGCAGAGCATGCAGGGCCACAAACCGAGAATTTGCGGTTTGGCAGGTGGCCTTCGTGGCCAAGCGAGGCTGGAATTCTTGGAGTCAGCTTTTGGGAAGAAATTCCCGTTGTCAAGGGGTTAAAACCAGTCTAGCATTAGAAGCAGCAGGAAAAGCAGTGTCGTTACTCCAGTCGATCCCGTGAGTTTAAAATTCAAAGCTTACGTTTGGAAAAAGTTTTGTAGTATCTAAACACACACGGTGGACTACTGGCCAGTTTCACTGAAATTTGACAGATGTAATCTCACTGAACAACTTTTGCGATCCAAAACTTAAAGAAAACGGCTGTATCGTACATATTTCAATACTTTATGATGATTATCTTGCCGGCCGTGCACTACATGTACACTCACTTGATTTAAATTAATTTTGGAATTTTTGCCCCGCCTGACGTGTGTTATAACACTGTGTACTCAGTGTTTGCCCCCGAAGCTTGTGAAAAAACCACAAGCGTACTCGGGTGGGACGTGAACCCTTGACCTGCTGCTTACTAGTGTAGATGTCTTAACTACTCAAACACCAAGCTTTTTACCAAGAATTTTTGCCCTGCCCAATGTGTGTTATAACACTCAGTGTTTGCCCCCTTGATTTCACTTATTCAGTGCACTGCTATACAGTATACATGTACGTATATGTGCGTGTACATACATACATGAAGCTGGAGCTTCGCACTTTAGACAGTGGATGCAGATATTTACTCCAGCTTATGATGGGCAAATGTATTTGATTTTTTAATGATTTAAAGGTCTTTTTGTTAGGGATCCACCGATGTAGGTTTTAACTGTGGATGTTTTAATCAGAGCATCGGCCGATGTCCGATCCGATCCAATGTTTTTACCAACAATGACTAAAACCTACATGTGAGCTTAACAGGATGTAGGCCTACTAACAACACAAAACCAGTGTACTCCTTTAAAATGTCAGTTTACTCATTACCGGTAATAGGATTAGTTTTTGCCATCACAGTCACTGTTTAGAGAATAAATCATTTAAACTCTCTATATCGATCGCCGCCATGTATGATGCCTTTGTAACCGATCATACAAACCCACGCAGTGCTCACAGGTACATGTACGTGAACATGCAGAATAGACACAGCACTTCACAGCTGAATCACAGTAGCCTTTAGTCGCACCATTGCGTTGGTGTCTTCATCGTGCATACCAATGGCAGAAGTGCATGTTGTGTGTTCAGGTAGCCACGCTTTTCCTTGAATAAAGGTTAAATCGTGGGGCTAGCCTCAGACCAATCACACATCACCTCGTGCATGCGTGGTGCCACATATAGTGTAGTTCCCAGGCTGTTTTAAAACTGTCAAAGGAAACAGTACACACGTACACTGACTGCTCTATATGGGGCCAGCGTTGGTCTGTGTGTTGAGTTGTTGCAGCATGGATCGCTCAGGTGTAATTTTCAGGGATACTTTATGTGGGTTTAACCATGGTATAACCGTTCATTTGTCAGACCAAATGAAAAAAGCACAGTTTGTTTTCATGCTAAAAATACAAATATGAGATTTTTGTTTGCCAAAACTGAGTGCAGAGTTTGCTTCTTTCTGCAGGTTAACATCGGCACTCTTATTGGCAAGCAAGGTCAAATTTTGCCAATCTGATGTTTTGTGCATGTTATGTCTTCAGTTGATCCCTACTTTTTGTTATAACTTCTGGTATGATGACGTTATCAGCCCCAAGTTTCACACGTGTTAACTGGGTAAAGATCTTCATCCATGTCAATTTTTGGGCCATCCAGACACACTTCGCCACTGACATCTATTCAAAATTCATTTTTCACAATTTTTAACTTGTCCCTAGAGGGTGATAGACTACTA